GGAACCTGGGGGGGGGTTGGGGAGGGAAAGGGACCTCAGCCGGGTGCAGTGCCACAGAGTCCACCCTCCAAAGCAGCCATTTCCTCCAGGGGAACTGATCTTGGTTGTCTGGAAATAACTGCAACAGTGGCTGCTCTCCAGGTCACGCCTGGAGATTGGCAACCCTGTGCCCAACCCCCCCGCGCCACCTTACTGACCTGCCAGTTTGAGGTGAGGCTTCTGCAGAGAGCTAAGCAGGATATTCTGAGGCTTCAGGTCCAAGTGGGAGATGTTCCTGTCGTGGAGGAACTTCAAGGCACAGGCTGGTTGGAGAAAGAGGAACGGGCGCTGAAGCTGGGATCGGCGGGCATCGCTCCCCCGTAGAGACTTTTCTTACCAAAGCCCTGCTAGGGGACTTCCTGATTCGAACCTTCTAAACCGAGAGTGAATACCGGAACTGTTTTGCAGGCAAAGGACGGGCCGCCCAGCTCCGGCCTCCCCCCCATCAACTCTGCATCGGCCCCTCCAATGTCTTCCATTGCGATCAATCCAAGGCAAAAGCCAGTTTGGTGTAGTGGTTAAGTGGGCGGACTCTAACCTGGGAGAACCGGGTTTGATTCCCCACGCCTCCGCGTGCAACCAGCTGGTGTGGCCTTGGGACGGCCACAAATCTGCATATATAAATGCACAAGGTAAAGGCAAAGGTCTCCCTTGCTCGAAAGCCAGTCGAGTCCGACTCTAGGGTTGCGGTGCTCATCTCCGTTTCAAAGCCGAAGGGCCAGCGCTGTCCGAAGACGTTTCCGTGGTCATGTGGCCGGCATGACTGAATACCAAGGCGCACGGAACGCTGTTCCCTTCCCACCGAAGTGGTACCTATTTATCTACTTGCAATGTCTTGCTTTCGAACTGCTAGGTTGGCAGGAGCTGGAACTAGAGACGGGAGCTCACTCCGTCTTGCGGCACCCGGGTCTCGAACTGCTGAACTACCGACCTTCCACAGTCTGCAGTTCAGCGTCTTAACCCCTTGAGCCACCGCAGCTCCATAAATGCACAAAGGCAGTTGAAAATGGTGAAACTGACAATGATCTCCGGAACGTTCTACCGTTTCGATACTATTCTTCGTCCGACTGTGGATGAAAGCAGCGACTCTTGGTCTGCTGTTTCAACAGGTACGTATCAACAATTTCATTAATTTCCACCGATGCATCATAACAAAGCTGCAAGAGATTCTCTGAAAGAACGTTCCTGGGGCAAAGTGCTTGTCCAATGCATAAGGCCATTCCGGAGATCATCGTCCGCTTCCACAGCAGCGTGGGGATTCGAACACGTGTCTCCCAAGTCCTAGCCAGATACTCTAACCACTGTGCCATGCTTTCTCACCAAGCTGTTGCAGAAAGATCTGCGCCACCTTCTCGGGGAGTATCCTTCGGGTGTGGATGAAGCGAGACAGGTCGCCCCCGGCACAGAACTCCATGACCAGGTAGATGTTTTCTTTGTCCCACTACAAAACAGATGGAACACGTCAGGGCGGCTGGGAAAAGGTAACGTCAACAGTTCAGCAGCTTACGAGGGCGAGGGCGGGAGGATAGAAGCACCCCCTCCCCAGCCCAGGGCCAACCAGTCTGCCCCTGAATTTAATTAAATTGATCAAGGGATTTTTAAAGGCTGCCTCTCCAGGGGAACCCTTGTTTGTTGTGGTTGTCACATCACAGCTGACTTATGACACAACCCTGTAGGGGTTTCAGGTCAAGAGATGTTCAGAGGTGGCTTGCCATTGCCTCCCTCCACGTCAGGATCCTGGACTTCCTTGGTGGTCTCCCATCGAGGGGTCATTCCCTGCAGGAGCGCACAGGAACGGAGCTCCGGCAGTAAAGAGCCCAGGGGGCGGGCACAGGCAACAAGCCCCACCCCCCTGCTCCCAGCAGCCCTCAGTCAGAGCAAGAAGCAGCCAGGTAAGCTGCAGAGGGCCCCCCC